CTCCAAAAAAGATAAGGAGCATTAGGATTCAAAGCTGCCAATCATGCATACAGCTGTTGTTTTACTAAATTATATGAAACTTGCAAGTATTTCTAATAAAAAATTCTAAAAGGCAGCTTATTTTTCCTTGTACTGTTTTCAGCTCTTTCACTTGAGTTACAGCATGTTGTGGGAGCCTGAGTAAGGCAACTGAGAAAAGAATCACACTTCCAAAATATCGTCGCAGTGGTTTTTCTACGAACTCTGTCCACATGATCTGGCAGCATCTCAGATTTAATGTACTTTTCATCTATCCCTAAAATTAGACAAGCACTGAAGTACTAAACTGCATTTTTCAGGGGTCTGAATTGGCCTATCACATCAGAAAAAGAAAGACAAATGCCCTACAGTATGAACTGCAGTTAAACGTTAAGGCACTGAAGTTTGTTAAACTTAATGGCTCTGAGAACAATCATCATGTCTTTAACTTTAGGCCTAACAAATCCAACATATTGATCAGGCAATTGGCTGTTGTACACAGATGCTAACTTATTCTGGGCATGTTTTATGATGCTTAACTGAAAAAGGGCATTTCATCATAGAATTTGTATATTTCCAAATAAATATTTGGCATTGGTAAGTATGGACTGACAAACGTTTTGCTTAAAACCTTTTAAAGGTCAGGGAAAAGATATATGGGAATAAAAAAAAGTCTCCAAGATGTGTATCATGCACAAAAGACATGCTCTTCTTCAAAGGTATTTTTGCATGCATGGTTTTTTTTTGGTGTAGTTGTCTAGTATTTATTTTATTATCTCTTTGATTTTTGTACACCACTTCTACTTGAGCAAAACTGTCAAGCTTGTATGCTTAAAATCAGGTTCCTAAATCCGTAGAGCAGATGCCTATTTAATTGAAAATAATGGCATTCATTAATTTTCTAACCTGTAGGGGTACTCATATCTAACTTCAAATCAGTCAGACGAGCTCTGTAAATCACAGACAGTAACAGTTGTTTCTACCTGCTTGTGGGGACAATAGCATATGTTGTCAAATCTGATTTAATTAAAAAGTCTGTGCAATCAAAACCAGCATGATGCATGACACTTTTGTTCAGGATTTTTTTTGCTAAGAAATGAGGATTGTGATTGACCATGTTTGTAAATTATTTTAGTAAAGAAAATAAACTGCTCCAGATTTTCCTTAGAAATGTTTCCTTCTTGGCAATTTTTTAACTAACTGTTTTTCCAAATGGATAATTTGATTTTTCTTAACTTGAAACTTTTTATGTAGAAATTTACTTATTAAAATATACAGTTTCTCCAAATCAAAACTTTATTTTCAGTCAAAACCATCTTTCTCCCGTGTTTTTTTAATGAAAGTTTTAAAAATGTTTATATATTGTTTGACTCAGAGTTCCCTCTCTGGCACATCTCTATGGCTGAAAGCAATTTACAGAATATTCTGCCAGAAGCTGAAACCAGCCAACCATATTTGCCAGAATCAACGTCTAAGCAGCTTTGCTGTTTGCCAAAAAGAGGGGTAGACTGTCCTTAATGGTTGCTGGAGATGTAAATAAAACATAATGAGAAATAAACGGACCACAAATGCACCCAATTTCCCAACTCTGCGAATAAGGAGAGGGCAGTAGGCAGGCTACGAGAGGAAATTTTCTAGGACTTTACTCCAGCAAGACTGACCTAACCAGAAGATAACAGGCACTGCAGCACATTAAAAGTTCCTGTTCTTGTTTATGGGAAGACAGCTCCAGAAACGGCAACCTAAGTAACTCCTGTCAGAAAGCCACAAACTATATAAAGGGGTAAGGAACCATCTCACTGCTGAGCACAAAACAGAACTTCAAACACATTTGGTGGGCCTCACGTTAACATACAGCTGAGCGCCACTCAACAGTAACGTGAAAAACATCAGGCTGCCATGGGTTGCCAAAACATGATCTGATATTGTGCATTCAGCCCGGAGGCTGTAGATTCACTTCCTTAACTAAATAAAACATGGGACATCTGTTTCTGACAACAGTGGTAAAAAAGTCATTCCACTGATCTTTGCATTTGAGAGGAAAAAAAGATCTACAAGACTAAATATAATGCAAATGTTACGACCTTAAGAAGTCCTTAATATGAGAAATGGACACATCCTACTCCTGAGGCAATGAATCAAGTTAAGTATCAATTTTGATCACAACTCCCTCAGAGAAAGTCCAAGGTGTTGGACTGGCTTTAGGAAAGAAAGAATTTAGACAAGTCACATTTCCAGTTTATCCTGTCACAGAATCACAGAGTGTTGAGGTTGGAAGGGACCTCTGAAGCTCATCTTGTCCAACCCCCTGCTCAAGCAGGGCCACCTAGAGCAGGCTGCCCAGGACCGTGTCCAGATGGTCTTTGAATATCTCCAAGGATGGAGTATCCACAACCTCCTTGGGCAACCTGTTCCCATGTTCAGTCACCCTCACAGTGAAAAAGTGTTTCCTGATGTTCAGACAGAGCCTCCTGTGTTTCTGTTTGTGCCCATCGCCTCTGGTTCTGTCACTGGGCACTACTGAAAAGAGCCTGGCTCCGTCCTCTTTGCACCCTTCCTTCAGGTATTTATACACATTGATAAGATCCCCTTGAGACTTCTCCAGGCTGAACAGTCCCAGCTCTCTCAGCCTTTCCTCATAGGAGAGGTGCCATAGTCCCGTCATCACCTTCGTGGCCCTTTGCTGGACTCTCTCCAGTATGTCCATGTCTCTCTTGCACTGGGGAGCCCAGAACTGCACACAGTACTCCAGGTGCAACCTGCGACGATGACATTCCTGTTCATCCCATGACAAAGTTACAGTAATCTCCCCTGGTTTGTGGAAATCACTTTTTTTAACTCCATGTTGAAGGATGTATTTTTATGTATGTATTCCATTTCTGCTTTGCTTAGGAAGGGCATTAAGTAGAAGTAAAAAGATGAAGGGGAAATGGATTCTCTTTCATGTGTTACACCAAGAATGACTGATTTTAAAAGCATCTTTTTATAAAGTGATTGACGCATGGCCATGTTCCAACAAAGGTAATTTCCCCAATACTTATCAACATAATCTGTATAATTATTAGAGACAAATGTAAAAATGTAGACCAGTTCAGTTTTATAAATAAAACAAAGATGTGAACCCATTATGTTTTCAAGTTGTCTTTTGCCTCCAGAAAACAGCTGTAAATGAAGCGACTATGAGACTGGAGTATTCCAATGCAACTATTTTGGGACCTCAGGATGAACTCCTTGCGGTTTTCTTCTCTACGTGGAAAACCAGGTATCATGAAATCTACAGGAAAACTAAAACCAAACATTGCCTTGAGCAACAGAGAACAGATTTAAACAAACTTTTTCCTCTTGGAGCTGCTACAAATTCCTTTTCCCTCTAATAAAAGTCAGTCAAAAACTGAATGTAAGAAAATAAGGTTTTGGTAGCCTAAAACCTTTTCTAGCTGTTTAAATCATAAAATGCTACAATATAAAGTATAAATCACAGTTCAAAGAATTCTTTTGAAAATTTATGCTCTGCTTATTTTATCACGATTACCAATCCACTGAAAAGTATTGTAAGGACTACAAATCTGTCCCAATGAATACATCTTTCTCCAAAATTGTTGAAAAATCCAGTAATAAAATACCACAGATTTGGGAAATTATTTACCTGAAAAACATGTTAATTGTTAATGGATTCTTATTGAGTACGAATATTATAATGGAAAATTCTTCTATGTCTCCAATTAGAGAACTAAGGAGGAATCATTCTTAAACTCTACTAGTGCAAAAAACCCCAGTTCTGGCCTGGACAATAGTTGTAAACAAAAGCTGGATTTAGATCTTGTTAAACCACATAAAAAGAAAAGTTCAATATTGGTATATTTATTTTTCTTCAACTCATGAGGACAAGCAGAGAGATATTAAGTTATTCTTTTCTCTTTAAATTCAATTCAATATGTCTTAAATGGATATAAACCAAAATTATAGCTTCTTGTTGACTAACCACAAAACACAGCTTTTCTTTAGGCAACATTAAAGCATGCAGAACAAGAATTAAACCCTCTCTTTCAGTGAACAAAAACTGAACAAAGTTGTGCATTTCAAATATAAAATTTAAAACATGATGTCAATTAATAAAGATTCTCCTGTTTAAATAGAAAAATGCTGAGATGTTCAGATTAAACTTCTGCACACTATTTACCTCTGAACACCTGAAGAATGTGGCAATATAGAAATACTGCTATTACAATTCCTATTTATTGAAATCAATAGGAAGTTATATGAGCATACATTTGTGAAAATGGAATGGAGAAAACCCCTATGCCTTCCCCTTAGAAAAAATGCAACTTTTTCCATCTATTACGTACAGCAGGAAGACAATGGGAAATGTGTGTATAAAATAAAGAAGCAGCCTCCTGCTCCATGGCATATGAGGGTTTACCAAAGTAGTGCTCCTAAAATATCTTTGATGGGACGAGAATTTCTTTGGAACATACCCATGATAAGAGCAAATTTTCTTAGATGAAAACAATCTGTTTAAATAATAGTTTCTCGTGACCAAATGGAAGGTCAGGGCTGTGCAAGAAATAGAACTGTGACTGAAGACCACAGATGCTACAGACGCTGGAAACCTCTGATGTATTAAGGAATTTCAGGGACAACAGATGGACATGTTTGGATCTGCTGAGCATTCGTGCTTCCCACCGGACTGTTTATTAACTTCAGGACTACACCAGAAGTCTAACAAAGCAGGACTTCTCTCCTCTTTCTCAGAGGCAACAGGCGCTTTCACAGTTTCATTTCAGGTAGGGTTATGGGATGGCAGCCATAATGGAGATGTTACTCAACAGAAACAGTTGAAATAGCTTATTTCTGCTTTTGCCATTAATGTGTGCTCAGGGAAACATTTCCAAGTGCAAGTGCTTAATGAATGGGAGAAATGGTTGCCTCTAACAAGTAATGCAGCGTGACATTAAAATATCTTAAAAAGTTAAAGAACTCACCGATTCTTTTCTGCTCATAGTTTTGCTTTGGGAACGGGAGCGGGAGATTGTACTGAAAAAGGAATCCTTTTTTGATGCAGACAATGGTGGAGATCCTGTAAATTCACGTCCTCCAGACAAGCTCTCTATGCTTGGAGATGAACTGATGTTTTTTGAACTTTGGCCTGTAAAGCAAGTATAAAGTAACAAAATAATTAATCAAGGGGCAGTTTGTTTTCCCTGTAAATACCTCCTTGTCTTAACTGACATTCACTGAGATTCACAGATAGCTCAACACAGAATGAAACGTTGAAGTGTGTCAGCATGCACTGTGAGATTGAAGGACTATTCTGACATACATGGAACTGAAGTTTTGTATGAGAGAAAAATACAAAATCTTAGTGTATATATAGATATATACACAAACACACACCATCTAGTGTGTGTATATATATGCTGAACAATATATATCTATCTCTTTATATAAATACCATCTCAATATATATACCCTATTATATCCACAGACTGAGGGCCTTCTCTTCCCTGTGTGGCATAATGAGCAAAAGTACCATTTCATACTAATAAAAAAAAATCAGATGTCATCAACATTGCAAAGGAAATCCTTTTTCTTTCCACAAATAAACTATAAAACTTGGCAAAGAAAGCTAAGAACAAGAACATCAGATGCCAAGAATGGGTTGGACATTGAATATCTAGATGACAATATCTAGACTTACAACAGGAAAAAGTAAGTTAAGTTCAGAAAAGAATGTAAATTCTCATGCTTCAAATTTTAAGGCCATCTCCACCTAACGGACATTTTGATGAAGTCTACTCAATAGACTTATTGTCATTTCATGCAGCTTTTCAAAAGAATCTAGTGTTGTCCACTGTCATAGTGAAGACATCTGGGTAGACGCCTGGGCTGTTTCACCATGACACTGTCTGCAGTCAGGCAGTCTTTGATAAGGATCATTTCTTCCAGTTGAGGCCCACAAAGTGTTTTGAAATATTTAACCTAAAATTCTATTTCCATTAGCTCCAGAAGAAAAAAACCAATATGTCAGTTTTCATTCACTTTCATTAAGAAAATGTTGCATTAGGACAGATGGTAGTTTTAAAAAACCTTTCTGTTATGTGTATGAGGAAGTCAATCCAGAGTGACCCAATGCAATTCTAGAATTTTCCATTCTGAAAAAAAGTAAAATAGCAGGTAAAACTAAAGCTCTAGAATTCTTCCCTTTTCTTGTTTCGTCAGCTATTCTGATGAGGCTGTTCATGTTCTCCCTTCTTCCTTTCCTTTGTTTCTGGTGTGCTTTTCATGCTACCATCTATAGCATCAGGAATGATCCTCTGAAACTAAATCATTCAGATGTCACAGGTGCAGCTTCATCTCCTTTGCAAGGTTGTGATCAGATTTGAAACCACCTCCCTCGCAGATGCCAGTGGTTCATCCTTCTTTGCTCTGAGCTGCTCCCACTCTCTATGCCAGTTTTACTCCCAGATGTGCCACACGTTATTGCACAGACCTTACAATTTATTTAGTGTTTTGTCATTGTGGATGCACTACCCGTTCTGATAATACAAAACTAACTCCTTTTCCGGAAGGGGTTAGTCTCCCCTTCATCATGCACTGCGGTCTTCCCCCATGATACAAGTTTCTAGAAAATGAAAGAAAACTAAAAGACAAAGAAATGAAAGAAAATAGAGGCAGAAAAGGCTGCAGAAAACACAGAAAGAAATTCAGATTTAGATACAAAAGGAGACCAGCTCTGTTGCGATCAAACATTTTAAACAAAAGGAAGTAACTAGCAAAACCTACTCATACAGAAACATCTTAACTTAATTCAGTCATTTAAGATCTAGAAGGGTAACTGTCCTCGAAGTGGTGTGGAAGTCAGCAGTGCCGTGCTTGGCCACCTGCCGGGTGGAGACAAAGCCCGAGCCAAGTTCTCCGCGGTGTTTGAGCTACGCAGCATATATTGCACAGCTACAGCCACACGAAACCAGCAATTCACATTTTCTTAAGGGAATAAATACAGATCTGTTTAAAATGTCCTCTTAGCAAGAAGACTGTTAAATGCAAAGAGATTGAACTAGCAAAGAATAAAACATCACGTGACAAAACAGACCAAAAAGGACAAAACCCCAGAAAAGGATCTGCGTTTAATATTCTCAACGTTTTCTGGAAGATAATTGGCATATAAACTGCTTCCCACCTTCTCCTTCATTCTCTCTCGCCTTATTTTGCTCTTCTTTCCCATGACCCTCCTACATTCTATGTCCTGCTTCTCATACTCCTATGGACCTTCCTCTGTCTGCCTCCTCCTCTTCTTCAGACCCCTCCACACTGCCTTTTCTGCTTCTGCAACTTTCTTGTTCCAACTTTTTCCTTTACATATTCTTCCCTTCCCACCAACTTCATTCAACTGCATTTTTCTGTTCCTTCCCAGCCCTGCTCTAGTCACTTATCACCTACCACTTAGTCTGAACAGCTTCCCTAAAGCGCAGGAGATGGAGGCTGTAAGATCTCACTTAACTCACATTTTAAAGAGAAATGGGATATGCATTAATTAGGTGAACATGAATCTCCAATTCTGTAAATAATTCTAGAAATGGAAAAGGAGAAAACACTGCATGGCAAACAGCAAAAATAATTCAGTTACAAGGAAGTTTTTATAAGATTTCTAATTTTAGGATAAAATCATGTCACTTGGCAACACCATTATCCTTATAGTTACCTTTATGTAAGAAGGAGACTTTTTATGCATTTCACGTGGCAATTCACAATGGAAATGTGGTTTTACAGTAGGTAAAACTTAAAAATAGTTTTGGAACAGATGAAATTACCTATTTTAGCAAATAAAGCATTTATAAAAGAAATCCACACAGCTAAGCCAGAGCAGCCAATATAAATGCTAAACATAAAAAAATCTATTTGGTAGACAGAGTAAAGTACAATGAAAAAATATTTTATTATGTATAAATCAGACTAAATGGGCTCTCTTTCCCATCCTAGTAATAAGAAGATATCTTCCACATAGGATCAAGATTAAAAAAACCAAACAAACAAAGTTAAACAAGGAACAATGTATATTTTTCACATACTCCTCCACTGCATGGCCTGCGCTTAACCCACTTCACTTGCAAATAAGCAGATCATGTGGTAAAATTTCATAGATAACATTGAGAGAGGGACACCTTATTTGAGGAACCCATGCATATGAACTAATACAGCTTGGTAAAATGATGGAAAAATTATTTGTAAGGATTTGTTTTTCTATATTCTGTCTTTCAGGTCTAAGGAAAAAGAAGTCCAAAATATAATAGGAAATTGAAAAGACAGAGAACTATCCTTATGGCCACCACTTTGCTTACTGAAGAGCTACACTTCAAAAGATAGATCACAGTTTAGAGGAATGGAATATGCAACTACTTGCATAACCAAACAAGAGAAGAAATATGTATAGCTGGGATTTTGTGGACAGAACAATACAACTGTCCTAAAAGGGCATTTGCTCAAATAGCACCAAGAGCTTTGACTAATCTAGTTCTTATGGACTATAAAATATAATGAAGATGAAAAATAAAAGCAATACAAGACGTAATGAAACTAAGATAGAGATGCAGTAAAACAGAAGCGATAAAAATACTATTTCTATATGTTTTATACCCAGGTAAGACGAAAGCTTGGGATGCACCTGATCCTTCTGCATGAATAAGCATATCTGAGAAAATTATCATCAGGAAACACTAAATTTTTACTCTGACTCCAACTCTGTGAACAGCACTGTGACAAGGATTATTTGGGGATGTGATTAAGAATTAAGCAAGACAGAAAGAATAGCGCTTATGAATAATTACAGTGTGTTGCAAGTCATAAAGCAGAGTTCTTGGATTGTAACAGGCTTCTCCAATTTCCAGAGGAGTCATCATTTTTGCACCGGTAAATAAGAAAGCTGAAAGACAAGTCGCACCAATCATGCACGTTTTCCCCAATGTAACAAAAAAGCCACCTATCATTTTCCCAACACAGAAGTTTAGTGGAGCTGCTGCAAGAACAGTTAACTGAAGTCACCACAATGCTTTTGAAGTCTTTCAGATGTATTATGCATGCACTGATTTCTGAGGCATTAACAACCCTCACCTAACTTTGGAAATAACACTGTAGCGCCAATGCAGAGGTTTCAGGCTCTCGGGAGGATTACACAAAATGCCATTTGTATCTTCTCTGTTGTGTGTCTCACTGATTCCGCAATTTTCTTAATAAGCAGTGTTGCACGTTCTCCTCACTCAATAGCTCAACAAGAAGGTCATTCAAGAGAGTTTCTAATTCCTCAGGAAAAAAAGCTAAAAAGCCAAACAAACCAGAACTCTTACCCTCCAGCTACAATCAAAGTGCATAAAGTGATGTAATAAACTACAGTTAATAACTAACCAAACTCATCTCCTTCTTCTTTAGCAGCTTAATCGGCAACCTGAGAACATCACTGAATCAAAACTTTCATTTTCCTCTGCTCATTCTATCAATCTCAGATAAATACATTATGCCTTCCTAAAAGAAGATTAGAAAAATCTAATCTCTGACCATCTAAGCGTATACCAGACAGTCCCAAAGCCTATATGAAGCAGGCCGAAGAAACCACAAGCATGGAAATCAAATAAATGCTTATGAGGCACACAGAGCAAATAGCTAAGGATCCCTGACATAAGCAGTAGTCAGAACACATTACTGCATAGGATGTCTCAAAAATATGTATGTGCACACTAGAATCCATAAATAGTTCACAGTAATGATGCACAGGATTTCGTGCACTAAAAATACATCCCCTTCTGAGGCAAAAAGGAGCAGCGTTACCTCCGTGTGCTGGCTTCTAACTGGCTCACTCCTTGCCTGTTGTTGGCGATACTGGGGCTGAGCCCAGGGTTGAAAATGCTCTGTCCCAAAATCATTTGGAAAAATACACAGATGTGGAAGTGGGAAAAGGGACTGAACTGTTGGTATTGCTGGCAGGGCAGAGGGTGGAGACATGAAATGTCTTGAAAAGAAGAAGGAAAGTTTAAATGTAATGTGATCTATAACAGGGATTTATAATAAAGTAAAAGATGATGACGAGAGGAGCACAGAAGACTTATGATGAAAGAAAAGCAAGCTGCAGGTCTTACTAAGTTTGAGTTAAGTTATAGGGGAGATAATCATGAACTTTGGAGGCCTCTACTAAAATATAGGAAAAGTCAGAGAAGACGTGCACAAAAGGCATGCAAAAATGACGGCTCACTCCTACAGAGGAAAAGAATAGCTTTCATAGTTATAAGGAGAGCAAGGACAAAGATACCAAGAAGAACAGAAGTAAGGCACGATCTATAATTCAAAACCACTCAGATCTGCTCATCTATTACTCTGTACTTGCCATAGTCAGGATGTAGAGTATTAAAATTTGCAAAAAGAATGACACGAGTTTTATAAAACTTTTAACTTCAGATAAATTAGTTTCCCTTTTTCTCCTACATTGAAATTGGAACAAAGACTTCCAGCACTTTTAAAATTTATTCAGACCACCTCACCACACAAATCCATACGCTTATTATTCAGGCCGAGGCAGGTAAGCTCCTCTTTAGCCAAGAGCATTGAAGTAGACGTTCAGCTCAAAATACCTGCCTCCAACATCGCAACAGGGAAGGAACGCAACTAAAAGGGACATTGATGCTCGACTCGCCCCACGTGACAAAGTGTGACATGGACCACAAAGTACAAGGCAAATACACATTTTTAACGCAGACGGATGCTGGCGTACGGCGACCGTAACTGCAGGGGCGCACACAGCACAGTCAGGGCGCGATGGAGGGAAGCCGCTGTTGTCTCTCTACACAACAGTGCCACTCGGTGGATGGACAACGGCAGTGAATGGAGACGCCACGCACGGCAAAACCCGCGGGGGGTGGCTGGGCAGCCGGAGGGTAAC